ATGTATGGAAATGTGTGATATCCATGAGGAATGGATAATGCAGCAGTAGACCTCACGCTATAGGCGACATATGGCGGTAGACCTCACGCTATAGTAGCACCCATAAAACTATATAATTGGATGAACTATGACATCTGTTTCACTTACACTTCTATAGCATCATAAAAAATATTTCACCTAATTCCAAAACAAAAATAACAGTCACCTATCTAGGACTACAGAGGCTACAATGTTTCTCCACCAGATCAATAAAACAAAGCACAATGACTTGATAACAAAATTCATGACCCACCTGGCTTCTGTACACATATGCTGCTATTCCTGCTGAAATCTCTAGGATGAAGATCAGACTAATAAGGACACCAAACTGTAAAAATTAAATCATTTACATTGTAGATCAGTCACATCTAGAATAAACCTGTATGACCTTTAAAAGTTTCATATTGAATATTACGATCCACATTTTTTTCAGTGTAATATATAATGGTAAAATTAGAAATCTGACAAAGTGATCTAAATTGATTTGTATATAACTATAGATAAACATTAAGCATGTTTTTAATGAACCAATCAATTTTGAAAAAATAACATCTGTAAAATTCAGCCACCAATCTATCTGATGAATGCTAAAACACACCATATTTAAACTGGCTTTGTTACGACATTAGATAACTCCATCAAATTGAATAAAATTTATATCTAATTTCATCTACTCCCCCTACTTCCAAAAAAATTGTGTTGCTATAGAAGTAAAATATTCCATACATATAACATCATATCACAATGTTTTGGGACAACATTTGACCTACTGGTCCGTCTCGGCTCTTCCATCCTCTGACCTAAATTAAATTTTTTTTTTTTAATCTTAAACCAGCCCTTATCATTCATGTACTTATCAAGAATTTTCTTGAACTCACTTAAATTTACTGCCCCTACAACATCTGAAGGCAAACCATTCCAAAAGCCAACCACCCTGTTAGAAAAATGAAACTGTCTTAGCTGAAGATGACTCCTACTTTGCCAAAATATATATTTGTGTCCCCTAGTCCTACTATTCTCACTGTCAAATATGAAAAAAGATGATGCATCAACACTATCAACTCTATTTACAATCTTAAACACCTCAATCAGATCCCCCCTAACTTTTCTATTTTCAAGAGAAAACAACTTCAGACATTTCAGACTCTTCTTGTATGACAACCCCTTCATCCCAGGCACCATTCTAGTAACCCTTCTCTGAACCCTTTCCAAAAATTCAATGTCTTTCCTAAGGTAAGGAGCCCAAGACTGAACACATTATTCCAAATGTGGCCAAACCAGTGACCTGTACAGTGAAATTATAATCTCTTTAGACTTGTATTCAATATTTCTGTAGATACAACCTAAAATCCTATTTGCCCTACCACTAGCAACAGCACACTGCTCGGGTTGGCTTTAGAGACTGATCAACTATTACACCAAAATCCCTTTCCTTCGTAACACTGTTAAGGTTATTCCCATCCAAATTATACTTAGAATTCAAATTATGATAAACCACATTATTTTGCATTTATCATAATTAAAACCCATCTGCCATTTATTTGCCCAACTCACTAAATGATCTAAATCCTTTTGTAAACCAGCAGCATCCTTTTCACAGCTAGCAACACCCAAGACCTTAATATCATCTGCAAATTTAAGTAATTTATTGACTATTCCTTCATCTATGTTATTGATATAAATCAAAAAGAGCAAAGGTCCTAAGACTGAGCCCTGAGGTACCTCACTTGTGACATTAATTCAGTTTGACTGAACTCCATTTCTACCCTCTGCTTTCTTCTATCCAGCCATTTTTCTATCCAATTTGCTAACTTATCCCACAAACCTATAGAGATTTTTTTTTTACAAGCCTTTTATGTGGCACCTTATCAAATGCTTTCAAATCCAGATACATCAAATCTACACCCTTACCCTCATCTACATAAACAGCAACCTTTTCAAAGAATGACAAAAGATTTGTAAAGCAAGATTTTCCCTTAGTAAAACCATGTTGATTATCCAATAAAATTCTTAAATTTGTTAAATGACTTTACAAAGCATCTTTTAACAGACTTTCCAAAACTTTTCCCACAACTGATGTAGGACTAATGGGTCTATAATTACTGGGACAATTTTTTTATCACTTCCATTGAAAAGAGGAGTTACATTAGCTGACTTCCAATCCTCTGGTACCTGCCCACTATTATTTATCTCCATATGCAGAAAAATATCAAACATAAGAGAGCAATGATCACTTGCACCCAGATGTTCCCCAATTTCCACCCTCTCGATCATTTCTATATTTGAAGTTAACAATAAATCTAAACTAGCAGTTTCTAATAGGTTTGTTGACTAATTGGTGAAGAAAGCCATCCTGAACAGTTTTCAAAAACCTTTCTTCCTCATGGTTTGACTCTAGAATTTCCCAATCTATAAGCCTGAAATTAAAATCACCCATAATTATGACTTCATTAACAGCTGAAATCATAATCTCATTGTTAAGTTCATCATTATAATTTGGTGGTCTGTAACAAATTCCCACTAAAAGCCTTTTCCCTTTATATCCACTGATAGAAACCCAAATCCTTGCTATTATCTTTGGTATCCTCAACTTCAACAGGATGTTTTTTCTGGCCCTCACCACTGTCTAGTCCTATTTTAAAACTTCCCTTATAGCTGAGTTAATAGTCCTAGCAAACAAGCCAACCCCTACCCTACTTAAATGTAAACCATCCATTCCAAAAGGCTCCCTTCTTCTACTAAACTGATCCCACAAGTCCAACCAGTCAATCTGCTGATCCTTACATACTAACCTAAGCTTAACATTTAGCCCTAGTGACCTGCTTATAACTTTACCCCCACAGTTAATTCTGGGCAGTATCCCTGACAAAATTAAATGATGGCTTTTATCTTTAAATACCTTTATCAACCCCTTGTACTTATTACTTAGCTCCTCTGACCTACCTTTCCCTACATTGTTAGCCACCTACATGTACCACAAAAACTGCATCTCTGCTAGCCCCTATATTTTATCTCCTGCTCTGTCAGTTATATCCTCCACCTGTTCCTCTGAGTAGCATAATCTGATTCTTTTCTCCTAGTTACCCCACAGACTATTCTATCCACATGCCTTGTCAAAGAATCACCTATAACTATAACCTCTTTATCATCCACATTCTTCTCTGACCCATTTATTTTTCCTTCCCTCCAACAGTTCCTCATCTGCAGAAGTCATGGCCTGAAATATGTTACTCAATATAATAGGCTCATTACAATTAAATCCACTACTTTTAGCCTTAATAGTACTATTTCTAGTTTCCTGAAAGTCACTGTTAGCTGATGTATCCCTTGCATGTAAAAGCTTAAGCTCCTCCTGAAATCCTGCTGCCATTTCCCAGTCTACACTTCTCTTTATCTATTGCCTCTATTTGAATTATGATTGCCTCCAACTTTTCCTCCAACCTACAAACTCTACATAAAAATTGCACATCTTCATTTCTAGCTTAATTAAAAGTACATGCCAGTCCCAAGTTCCCAAATAAAACTCACTCATTGCACCCATTACAACAAACAAACTGTAAATGCTTAACTCCTACATTAGTCTTAACCATTGTATTTATACTTATAGCCTGAAAATAAATACTCAATATCAAATACGAGTAGCCGATTGTTAACATTGTTACTGTTAAGCCTAACATTTAAGAACCAATTATATAATTTTTATCACTACTTTGTCTTCACGCTAAAGTAATAAAGTTTATCTTTAATTATACAGAACTTAATTTATTAGAATATATGTAATGTTAATATAATAATAAAAAAATGTATTTAGTCTGATTTATATTATAAGCTGAATTTAAACTAAGTTCAAGTAAAGAAGTTAATTCTTAAAACATCAAGAGACAATAAACTAGTTTTTAAATTGTACTTATTTAATAAAACAATGTATTTATCCTGTTTTATGATTTACCAGTAAATTGAAATATACCTAAGCCTAAAGTACCGTTACAAGTACTAAGCCTATTTTATCATTGTAGTAATTTACACCACTAAACTCTAGGTTAAAACTTTGACTGTCTTACTCATATTTACCAATCTTACTATGTCTAGTTATTATTGTGTTATTTAACCCAAATTATTACAAATTATAATAATAATATTAAATAACTTTCAGAAATCTATAAGAGCTTAACTTTTCAATGTCCTCCCTCTTCAGTCGCACCCTCTAAGTTAACTTATTCAATATGATGCAATATATGGACCTCATACGTAGTGGATGGTATAAAAACAAATGATTAATTTGAAGATTAGATTATTTAAACTAAATTCATCCTAAAAAGCCATAATGAATTACAAGAGTTCACCAAAGAAAACTTGTACTTTTGAATAAACCATTTATTTTTCAATATTACCATTAAAGTCAAATAAAAATGATGGCTTGTTCCCACTAAATCAATCCTACTTGCAGCACATATCTTTTGCTTTGCTCTTTTTGATGCTTCTGAGATCTTTCCTCTCACTTTTTGGCAATAACACTATGTTAAAAACTTCTACATATTACATGACAACTGTGAACTGTACAAAGACAACTGGTACTTATGTTTCATCTCATATCAATATTTATTGTAATTTCCTGGACACTCATGAACAGCCCATTCACTGAAATATGAAGGTTGGAATGTTATATTAAAACAATTTTGGACACTTACCATTTCATTACAGTTCATGTCACCATTCCAGTCATGCACTATCTAATGACTAGTGCATCTTAACAATAACACTGCAACATAATTTCCATAGCAAAAGGTCACAGTTTAATACTGTCATCTCAAAAGCACACCATCTCCCCTGCTTGCTTTCCATAAGTCATCTATGTTAGTTTCCCATTGCCCATTTTAACAGTCTGATATCACAGAAACCTACAGGTACTATATTCGGTGACTTCTCCAGTACACCCTCATACTGAATGCCACAAGTGCTCATTTTATTCTAAAGCTGTATGAGGTATGAAACAGTTGAGCAATATGTCATGGAAGCAAGGTACACAATTCATGTCACTTTTCCACAAAGATATCCTTCTTGATTATGTTGCATACTGTTGCCTTGAGCACGTAGATGGCTTTTGTCACTAACCTGTGTTCAAGGATTTAACTGGTACAAGATACTGCAGTTTGCTTACCATGGGTAAGGGACAAGTTGTTGCAGGTCTCTTTTCAATTACCCTGGTGCCCCAAGTTAATTCTTATTCCCTTATTTTCCTATGTTATTAAGGACAAGAGATATCCCATCTTGGAAATTCTAAATCCTCAATATAAGCACATCTTTATTATCCGAGTTTACGAATATTTTGCAATGGAAAAGATTGTAACATACCATTCTGGCATCACATTATATAAGAAAGGCAAAATAAATGTCCAACTGTTGTTCTGACACATACCATTCCACCACAGCTTTACATCACATATGGATGTCATGTGACTTGCATATTCAAATCATTTTAATATAATGTGCTCAGTCCTCTGTACACCGATAGACAGAAGTTTCTCAACATTGCCAAATATCATAACAGTATGAAACTTGTACAACATAAAAAAAATAGGTTACTGTAAACAAAACTTTAACCTATCCATCATCATAAAGAAGCCATAGCTTTCTCTGCTTTATAAGTATTATGTATGTCTAGCCATCAAAATACCATACACACTTGAAACAGCTTAATTAATTTAAATCATATACCTTTTTAATTTTTTTATACATAAGAATTAAAAGATGCACACAAATTATAATGCTTCACTTCACCTCCCTGAGAAAAAGTCAGGAAGGATTCAGAAACTTGCCCTCAATCCTGAAAGTCCTAACTTCAAGAATTTTTCCTTAGAGTAAACTGTTTCAAATACACCTAAGTTGTTGGTTTTTTCATTCTTTTGAATATCTACATCACTTTAGTTTTTAAAAATTTGAAGTTTTAACTTTACAGTTAAAACACCTCAAAATTACATCATAGCAATGCACCAATACAACGAAACAGGTTTTGCATAATAGTATTACTATTGCTTGTACATGTATTTAATACGTTCAAAAAGTTCTTTTTAACCAGATTAATGCTGACAATTTAAAGTAAAAAAAACAAATGCAGTAATGTAAAAGTGTATCATATATATATATATATATATACAGCTTACAAACTATTGATTACATTGTTTCGTAATATAACAAATATCAATATTTAATTCACAAATATATGTAATTTTCATGGTAATAACGAGGGAAAGTATCATAAATGAAATACTTACTGTCATAACCATGCAGTGATTTTCTTTAATGGCACCACAGCACCCTAAAAAGGCTATGATAAAAACAATCACCCCTACAACAATGATCAGGGTTGGAGGTGATGCAAACTTGCTAGGAATGAAGTCTAGATATTCTGATGCCTTTATCTTTACCACAGCTCCAATAGAAATTAGAACAATACCCATAATCTAAAACAGAAAAAAAATAAAAAATAAAACTGTCATTACTGTCAACTGAAAAATCCCAAATTTTCTGAAGTAGCAAAAGGTAAATTTATTTTGGTCTTCTTATAGATACAATTTTCTGACTACATATACACACACACATACATACATACATACATATATATATATATATCATGCTCTATCTAGTCTAAAATTATACTCAGATTATACAATAGATTAATTTATCTGCAAAATGGTTTTAAAAAATGTGCTAAAATATAGCTAATGAAGAATATTCTTTTACAATGTAATTTAAAAGTACTTTAGAAAGTTAATATCGTATGAGATAGTCCATGAAATTTTGGTATCAAAACTAGTTGGTCCTCAGTTGGAAAATGGTTGGGAACCACTCATCTAATACACAGTTCAAAGGTTACCATTCATCAATACAACATTTCACTGTATCTGACTCTGTGGCAGTTACAAAATACATGGCATATAGCCTCTCAGTATTAACTGATTATCATATAATAATGTTAAATATTTTAATATTTACTACACTTTCAGATACAGGATGTTTATATCACATTTATTATCAAAAACTCAGTTTTTGTGTATTTACTTCCTCTGTTGCAATTTATTACAAGTTTCACATTGTATTCCATTCACATATCTCAAATGTTAACATTTTCCTATTCTGAATATGTATTTCCAATAGATGCTCACCTCATCACACAGTAATGCTATCTTACTCTTTTCCACCTATGAGGCTTGCATGCCACTAGTATTGAGGTAACTCCCATCTAAATTTGTGTGTTTAACATGAAATGTGCTTGTTTATGATGCCACCATGTGACAAAATCTCTCTATCAATAGGAGAGCAACACAAACTCAATGCACAGTACTCCCCCTATGCACTTTCACTCGTCATTCTCTGATAAGGCAAGACAATAAATAATGTGAATCAGAAGTGGGGACAATGGTTGGGAATGTGTGAAGAGATGGGTATTTATTGGAAATAAATAAATTTAAATATTATGAAAATGATAACTTTCAAGACAATAACTCACCTCATCACACAAAAATGCCAGATCCCAATGCTGAAGTGGTAAAAGGGCCAGTGCAGAATTTTACCCAGATCAGCTCCCTTAAGATAGCACCCAAAGAGAAGTCCATGGTGTGACACCAATGGCAGGGGTTCCATAGAGGCACACCAGTAGGAGACCACATTTCATCCTGAGCAGGGTATACTTTTTACTCGGAATGTAAGGTTGGAGAGGCAAATGAGCCCCGAGTGTTGCAGGGATAGATGGAATGAGAACATGACTGTCCAAACACTTGCACACAAATAGCCAACGAGCTAATATGTATAATGCAGTTAGGGTGTGGTCACTGTCCATTGTGTTCTCACCACAACTCTACTGAACAGGCTTTGGCTGCAGAAGGAGGGCACATTAGTTATTCCAGTGTCACTGTTGCCCTGCTTTTCACTGTACTGCCCAACCAATGAGGATTCTCCATGGTCTGCCACCCTAGTGGCTAGGGTTTGGTAAGTGACATGGGTTTCCCATGCTTCACTCAAAGATGAGGGAGAAGAATTCACATTGAGAAGACTTGGAGAAGTACTCTAGATCTCTATCAGACTACTAGCCAGAAAGGTCTTTTATGGGTGACCATGAATCCCTATCTATAAAAACTGGCGAGTCTAAACCAAAGAAAGTGGGCAGTCAATTCTCTGATGCTGCCATTTTCCATGATAGTCCATGGAATTGTTACAGTCTGGATTAGACAACTGAGTACATTTTTCTACCCATCTTAAAGTGGGCACTGGTAGAGCCAGCACAGATGGCTTCAGCACTTTCTGTTATCCTGGCTTGATGCAGATTTTGAGAACTAAGCATACCCTGGGAGGCAACACCAACCACCTGGTGGGATTCTTTTCGTTGGAAAGGGAGAAAAATTAAAAGAGAAACATATGCACCCATTTCAGAGATGGTGGGATAATGGAGGCATGGTGATTAGTGGAAGTTGAAATCCTTTGGAAGACAAAACAGCTAGAAGATGAAGAGAAAGAGTGATGAACATGTAGGGAGTTGTCCACATACCCATATGGAAGATCTTGTCCTAGGACTGGCAAAGGTGGAAAGCAAGTGATTGAGAAAGGTGATGAATCAAATATGAAAAACTGTGAAATAGCATGTGTGCAGCCACATCCATAGATGAATATACCAAATGGAGAGTCAAAAGACTCATCCAGCAAATGTAGGAGAGGGATCCCTAGAAGAAGAGGAGTACCAGGGCAGGAACAGATAATGGTGGAGTCCCTAGAAAGGAAAAGTCCACGATAAGCAACTCTGAACAGAACACAACTCAATATAGATCTGAACCATCATAGAAGTAAGAGAATAAAGGAAAAGAGACAGTAGAAAAAGAATGGTAACCTCCCAAGCATAAGAAGAAATAAAGAACAGGCCAGGTAGAGGAGTATACAAGGGAGGTGAAAGAGGATGCAAAAAGTATCAACAGCACAGACAACTAAATGACAGTGAGAACAGGCAAGAAGAAGCAGGAAATAAGACATGAGAGAATGATGGTACAAAGAGCAAGAAGCCAACTGCTCAAACAGGACATGCATAATACCATGCCAAACCAAATTAAGGACCCAGGCAGGTATGAGTTGAGAAAGGAGGACAGTGAGAAAGGAATGAGCTGAACAGAGTGGAGAAGACAGGGGAAGAAAACATCCTGTAATACCAGGAAAGGCGAAATGCAGTGGACAACACCACCCAATAACCAGCAATGATAGAGATGGACAAACCATGGTCGAATAGCCAATCAAAAAAGGCAGAAAAGTTTAGCACAATACGATGGCCATGAGGAAAGGAGTGGCAAATGGATCAATGGTGAAAGACCTCCACTAACATTGATAGAAAGACAAAGTGGGAGAGCAATAGTAATGTGACAAGAAGATTACACAATAGGAGAGTCAAGTCAGATTTGACGTAACTAATGATCTGTACAATGAAATTATAACCTTAGACTTGTATTCGATATTTCTGTAGATACAACCTAAATTCATATTTACCTTTCCACTAGCATCAGCACACTGCTTGGATGGTTTAAGAGACTGATCGACCAGAACAGCATGATAATTTTCTTCTATAACACTGTTAAGATTATCTCCATCAAAATCATACTTACAATTCATATGATAACCCACATGCATCTGCCATATATTTGCCCAACTCACTAAATGATATAAATCCTTTAGTAAAGCATCCTCCTTACAGCAAAGAACAAACATCTAAAACCTTATTATCATCAGCAAGCTTAATTAATTTACTGACCATTCCTTCATCATTGCCATTGAATGATCGATGTAAATAAAAAAGACGAATTGTCCTAACAGTAGCGATAATTCTTAAGGTACCTCCAGCTTGTGACGTTAATCCAGTCTGACTGAACTACATTTTTAACAGCCCTCTACTTTCTTTCATCTAGCCAACTTTTCTACCCAATGAACCAACTTATCCCCCCATACCTATAGAGATAACTTTTTTTAACAAGCCTTGTTATGTGGTATCCTGGTAAATGTTTTCTGAAAATTTTGAATTAATGTGATCTAGTGTTCCTTTTATTTTTTTGCATCTAGAAAGTTTTCAGGGCAAGGAATATTGCTTAAACCTTCCATAGTAATAATTGATGAAAAAAAAGAAGCAGAATTTAACAACCTAACCATCTCGTAATAGTCATATATGAGCCTTTCTTCACCATTCCTCAAAGATCCTACTACCATCCTAACGTTTTGCTTACCCTTAATGTATCTAAAGAAATCCTTACTCTTAAACAAGTTTCACATTTTAGGCCAAAATTTCTTCATATATACCCTTTTCAACTTTCTAATTTCCTGTTTGACCAACTTTCTTGATCTACTATAAATTGTAATCCTCTAAGACTACCATCGTAGCACTAGCATTCAATTTAAACTTCTTAAATTTATCAGTATCTGCTGTTATTAATTCAGTTACCCAATTCACAACAGATATTCTTGTGAATTCCTTCAAAATTCGTTTTTTAAACTTGTAATTTGTAACCAAAATATCATTATTCTCGATTTGCAGTAAACATCAAACCTAATTGAGAAAATATCTCTTGCACCCAGATGCTTCCCAATCTTCATCCTCTCAACCATTTATATATTACTATTACTATTAGACGTTAACAATCAATCTATAATAGAATTAGGAATACTAATAAGTAATGCTACTTGTCTACAGAGTATAGACTATCGTCAATTAATATTAACCCCACACTTGAAGTTGAAACTTGAACTGTTGAAGAGTAACACTAATGCCGATACAACTACAATTTTCAAATACAACTACAAGTTACAACAGCAATACATACCACAAAAATAAAATTAAAGGCAAAAAGCAGATATTTGATAATAGCCATCGCTCCTTGAACTGTTCCCATTCCCTTCAAATGCAGAAATCTATAACACTCTTTCACGTTCACAATTCGGATTTTGAAACAAGTATAGAATTAGATTAAGTTTATATTTTAATTAGTTATTAAGCAATCCCTCATTTATCAAATAAATCATGTGAGCAAATACTTAGCGCTACCTCGTGACCGTGCCACGTTGCTCAATAGATAAGGGACTGTTGGATATTTACAAAACTGATACATATACAAATTAAAAATAGAGTTATAATAATTAACTTTTAATAACTACGAATGAATATAAGACTGAATAATAACAAATTATTTTAGTAAATACTAAAGTCCATTAAACTCGTTAGTTTAATATTAAATAATTTTCAACTTTAACAATTTTTATAAAATGGAAAATAAAAAGTAAAAACTAAGTGTGTGTGTGTTAAAAGAAATTTCGCCCCCCCCCCGGCCCCAGTGGCATTGAGTAAGGCTGGTGGGCTTACAACGCTAAAAAACACACAAAAATACAGCTTTCAATAATACCCGATTGTGTAGCTTTATGTTTAACTTCTAACAGTACTGACGTTATTATTACATTTCACATATATATTTATGTCTATATTCACATTTCTATTAAATTAAGTTGTTTGTCGCGTGCTCTAACGTCCCTAATTTAGATTACAAATAAGTCAACTGGATAACAACTCCCACCGCCAACTCGTGGACTACTCTAATCGCTCCCAAAGACTCAAAGTGCGAAACATAAGTTTTGTTGTTATTTATTTGGGGGTAAATGTGCACGAACTACGGAAACCCGAATTCACTCTCTGGCATTCTAACCACTGGGCTGCGCTTGGCCCGACAAATCAAGTAATTATTCTATTAGTTTTGTTTAGTGTATAGGGGATGCAGACTGAAGGGTCTGGAGCTCGAGCCTTCTGCTGGTTTACACACACCTGGTTGGTTGTCCTTTCTCTAGTCAGTAATTCAAAAATTAGTGACTTTCAAGTTGAGAGTTCATGTTTTTTTACTGATAACATTAAAATAGTGTTTACAAAATAACCTTTCATCAGTATTACAGCTGATTAAAATATGACACGATTTATTTTATTTCGAGCGGCAAATGAATGTAACGTTATACATTTGTGCAAGGTATTTGGCATGTGTGTTTATGATTTAACTTTACTAATTTAGTGTGCGAGTTTATGAGATAGTTAATGTGCGACATCTGTCATATCTGAAATTGTACTACCTTTTTAAGAAACTAAAAGGTGTGTACACTATGTGTCTTTGTCAGGTATCTATAAGTTATAACTGTTCGTTTTGAAATTCCGAAAGTTCAGTTTTATTATTTTATTAAACAAATATTTCCAATAGAGTTATTTATTATTAACGAGTCGTTATTGTTAACTTGAATAGCTTAAGGTTAATTTTGAAATAAATTGAGTTAAGTTCATTAAGCAGTATATTTGAAGTCCTGAAATATTAAGTTTTGTACCGTGGAAGGTTTTGTTATTGTGTTAACAACATAATTTGTCGCTGATTCATCAGCTGGAAAACGAAGTTTTATAATAAACTAGCGAAAAGCCCGTCGAAAATGACGGGGTAAGTACTACCACTCCCAACCCATAGTGTACCCTAACCTTACATTTCATAGCTAACTGAAGTAAATACTGTTACACCTCCAGTCGTTAGTTAATTTTCCGACTAAACTTTAGCGACACAAGTCCTTTCTTAAATAAAACTGGTTTATTCTTTCCGAATACAACTTTACGATACACTTAATTTCAACAGTCACTCTATAACAAACACTATAATTCACGTCTC